ATTCATCTGCGATCTCAATTTCGAATCGATAACGCTGTTTCCTCGATTCTCGACGTTGAAAGCTTTTCTGCCGTCACCGCGACCGATGTATTCCATCTTGACAACTCGAAGATGTCTCGATAGATTGTAATTAATCGTATTATACTATCTCAGAGATAAACCGGTAGTGATGTCTTGAAAATGTACAGATGTATCGTTCTCCTGTTTGATATGTTGTAAATATTTCCGCATTATTTGAGATACAAATCAAATGAATAAATATTACTATTATTGTGTACCTATCTCCTACCTTGAAATCAAAACCAGTTCTGGGCCGATATTGTTTTGAATACAAAAAAAAATGGGTGCGTGTACTTATGTAGACGCGTGAGAAGTTATCCTTCTTTCGCATCGTTTAAAATTAGTTTTTAATTGCATGCAAATAATTAATTACAATAAATTAATAAAAAGTCTGGAAAAGGACACAGAAGACAAAAGGAAACTAGAAACATGTGGATAAATATTATAAACATGAATACCTATAACTGTTACTTTATTACAAAAAATAAAGATGTGGTTTTTGGTTCTACTACACCAATGGTCAAGAGATGGCGCTGTAGTCTCCTGAATCGCGCTTTGGTTCCGTTGTTCCAGATTAATAAATACTTTTGATATTATAAATATGAATACCTATAACTGTTACTTTATTACAAAAAATAAAGATGTGGTTTTTGGTTCTACTATACCAATGGTCAAGAGATGGCGCTGTAGCCTCCTGAATCGCGCTTTGGTTCCGTTGTTTCAGATTAATAAATACTTTTGATAGGCCTTCACAATGCAGTCGTTAGCACCCACTAAATAGAGATTCTATTTCTATTTTGTTGGTAGATTTTCTTAATGTGCGGTAAACACAAAAGTCGCTAAAGCGACCAACTTCATGCTGTTAAAATTTTGTGTTACAGTGATGCGCGCGCATCTTACAATTTCACTCTCATCATTTTTTCATAACGCGCCTAAAGAAGTATAACTTCAAAAATATCAAACGAAGTTATCTAGACGATGACGCCTACTCTTAAGAAAGAATTCAGATAGTAAGATGTAAATTAATTGAAGGGTAAGGTAAGGCAGATATTTCTTTAGAATCGCTCCTTTTCAAGTAGCGAAAACGAAATTCCAAGAAAGCAATTTGCTACCCGAAACCCTCGCCAGAGGCTTTAGGAGAAGAAACCTAATTTCTACCAAATTATACTACCACGACCACAAAGAACTCCCAACGGTGTCCATTAAATTCCCCAAATCACCATAATAGCCGCGGCGAATACAGCTGTCCTTGTCGCTCCCACTGTAAGTGGTCATGTGAGAGAAAGACAAGCTCATTTGCATGCAAGCTCGGCGCATGCGCAAGCAGCAGTCCGTGTGTTGTTTAATAAGGCGATTTATAAATACGATAACGGAATACAACTTGTTGTATGTTGAAGTACGAGTATGTTTTTTTATTTTTGCATATACAAATTGGAATAGACTAGTTGCATTCCTTTTTTAAACTAGCACTGGCAATCTTCGGATCCCAGGGCTGTCAGATATGATGAGTACATTCTATGAAATTAAGTGATGAGAAAAAATAAAAAAATAAAATATTGACTTTCAAGCACCTCAGTGCTACAATGTACAAACATTACAATCGCGAATTACTCTTAACTCTTAAGTATCTATTTGTTTCTTAGGTTTTCACGCACATCACTCATTAAATAAAACTAGTTTTTACGGGTTAATGCACGAAACTTTATTTATTTATTGACGTTTCGTAGCCTTTACAGGCTTCGTCGTCAGAATAAAACTTTTATTTAATTTGTTAAAGTTTTATTCTGACGACGAAGCCTGTAAAGGCTACGAAACGTCAATAAATAAATAAAGTTTCGTACATTAACCCGTAAAAACTAGTCTTAAGTATCTGTTTGCTCTCGCCAAAGTAAAACTTGGAGTTTTATGGTAATACGAATCTGTACAGCATCCTAGTGGAGGTGAATAGTTTGTTTTTATACTCTTTCTCTCTCTTTCTTTGGGAAATATCCTAATTTAAAAAGTTGAGATAGTACACACTCTTTGTTCGCAACTTGTCATCCAACGGTAAAATAAATAGATATTTCCAACACTCACACCAATAAGCCTAGCCTCAAAGTGAGCACTGTAAGGCTTGTGTTATGGGATGCTAGGATAACGGAGAGATCGGAGAGAATACATATACAGTACACATATAATATAACTATATATATATAGAAATACATATTAAACATCCATGACTGGAGTACAAATACTCGAATTCATCACACAAACATCTACCCCCACCGCGATTCGAACCCGTGACCTCTCGAGTCAGCGACACCATGAAACCCGGCGTACAAACCAATCGGCCACTGAGGTCGTCGTCGGTAAAGAACAGTGGATAGTAAATGTAGAGATAAGATTTTAAACATTTCTTTGTTATCCCCAGGATGAATTTAGTTCTATTAGCAATCATCATTACCTCAAATTTTGGCAATCATTTATTTGAAATTCTAAAACTCTGTTTCGCTGATAGTTAAAACAAATAAATTCACTTTTACAGCAACGGCTTACATCAAAGTAAGTCTATAGGGATGCGCCACCACGCTTCGATAATTGTCGATAACATCGATGTAGTAGTCTATATATGAGCTTCAATAATTGCTGCCATCGAATCAATGCGTCGATCGCATGCGCACAACCACGATAGCAATCTCACTGCAGCTTCTGAACTGCTCCGGGATCGCTGCGGGCTTTTTTCAATTTTTATTGTATTAGTTTAGCAATCAGACGTTTTATTGCATCTCTAATCGATACGTAGAAAAACTATAAAGTAAAAATTACTTTTATATGTGATTAATGAAATATATTATGATTATCAACATATAAGAAAAACTTTCCGCATATAATAGGGGTGATGACGGGGTACAGTAAACGAAATTCTATTTAGTCCGTCAGTTAGATGATCAAAAAATAATGGACATGTATTTTATCTTTGGGCAATCAACCAAAAAATGACAAAGTTATAGCGCGTCAAAGTTTGGGAGTAGGGGCTCGTGACGTCACTTTTTAGTGAATTTTCACTTATAAGTGTACTCAAACGTGACGTCATGCGACTTTTCAAATCAATATATCTCTGCAATGTTTATATTATGTGAAAAAAGAAAAAATACGTTTCCAACACTTTTTGATAATCTACCTGATAAACGAAGAAAACAAAAATAGTCCCTATTGTATATATTCTTTGAAACGTGAATGCATAAAAAATGCTGCAGATTTGTTTCTCAGTCATGTTTGACATTAAACATTGTCACATTAAAACTAGTGGACACCAGACCTGGGTACGGTTGGAATCGAATTTATAATGCTATGATGATTCGATCTAAGATTTTAAACTTCATAAAATTTCTGATTTCTGAGGAGCTCGATGGAGCAAGTGGTTAGCGCGTTCCGCTGCGATCGTTGAATTTAAGCAACTTTCGCGGTGGTCGGTCATTGGATGGGTGAACGAAAATTTACTATCTCGAGCTCCTCCGTGCTTCGGAAGGCACGTTAAGCCGTTGGACCCGGCTGCATCTGCAGTCGTTAGCACCCACCAACCCGCACTGGGCCCGCGTGGTGGGTCATGGCCCAATCTCCCTATTCCATCCATAGGGAAGGCCTGTGCCCCAGCAGTGGGGACATTAAAAGGCTGATGATGATGATGAACATTTCTGACATACGAGTGAGATTATTGTATGATGTGATCTCAAACCTACCGAAATGAAAGTGATATCTCTGCATCACAATATGATGGGTTTGATTCATCTCTGTTTACAAAAAACATTTAAACCGGATTTTCAGTACGTTTTTAATTATTTCAGATTATTCCCGAGATCTCTGTCTATTCTAAAATATGTATATTACGTGGATACTTGGTGGATACTATGTTAGTAGTGACATAGATTTTATCAGACACTTTTCGGGATCTCTATAATTTGTACCACCTGTTTCAAGTTTTTTTTTTCCTTTTTAAGATCTCCAGATTATTATAAAAAACGTGGAGTTATGTTCTGAAACTGAGGCAAGGCAAACCCTAAATCACAATTAAACGGTAAATCACGTACTAGATGAGGAGAGCAAACGGACAAATAAAACCATCGCTCGGGCGGGCGTAACCGACGAGCCGCCACAGCGATCAGATCAAACAAATAGCAAGAACCTATTTCTTTGATCTGATCATACAATCGGTACTTTATATCCACGCCACCAACATATTGTATACATAGTATCGTATAATCATAGAGGTAATATTATCTACTTAAATTTGTAAATTATTGATTAAATTGCATCATCGATTTTTCTTTCTTTGTAGAACACGTATTTTTTTTAGTTAAATTCGTTTCTATATTTTACCCTCTATGTACATTTCCTCGTTTTTTTGAGACTTAATTAATTTCGACACTTTCTTATTTTAAATCTAAACTCAGTAAATCTGAACTCCTTTTAAATTATTGAAAGCCGAGGCACCGCGAGAAAAAAATGTGTCCAATAAAAATCTAATGAAAACGCATCTCCACCGTATATTCAATCTGCTGGTAATAAGATACGACCGCAGCAGCGAGATTAAACCTCGCAATTGTAGAGTAATCGGCGCACAAACACCGGACCGTTACCCCGCGGACGGAACCACGGACAATCGGTCCATCATCTCCGATGGATCGCGGAAAAGATCCATCGCTAACTATGCATTACAGGAATCTGGACGGCGCGATGTGGAAATTACTAGCAAATGAGTAGGCTGTACCCAATCCTAGATCGATTAGCGCAGGTGTAAGTTTGTAGAAATTAGAAAATGTTAGTGTGTCCTCAATAATCATTACTTATAAATAGTTCATAAGCTTTCGCTAGAAAAGTTAATCGTATTGCAATCTTATGGGCGATTGAGCAAAATTCTTGGTTTCGTCAAACATGATACTGATGAAGCATTTGTTTTGTAGATCAAATCCAAAATGTCGGCTACCGCAACTCGCCACGTGAAAGCTTCAAACTCAGCAAACATACTGATGTGCAAGCAATGGTGGAAAGTGTGCTGGATGTATGGAGACCAGGAGAAATATTATAGACAGTTGTACGGTAGAAGAAAACTCAACAATATCAACGCAGACATCCTTAATTTTGATATGGATGTAAAACGTCCTGGTGCACAGATTACCGAGCTCACTGATGATTTTTTTGAAGATAACCAAAATCATGAAATAGAACCGGCCCCAGATGAAGCTAATACCGCAAACAGTCCAAAAGATTACACATTTGGTGTTGAATCCGAACCTATATACGGGTTTGACGCCCAAACCACCTGGCAAAGAGACCAAAGAAGACAACCTATACAACAAAACTACGACGAATATATAAACACGGCTGATCTAGACCAAATTTTAGGGACAAGTTTAAGTGGTAATAGTATAAAAAGTATGTTAGAAAACGGGTTACCTCTCCAATCTAAATCTAAACCTCAACTTATAGATTCTAAGGAAGAGATTCTTAGGAACGGTAATACATTCGGTAAGACATCTAAGACAGTATGTAGAACTAGAAAGGGGGCTTTAGTGACGGAGGAGTCGGAGATATCGACTGATGGGAAGACTCTGGCTAATTTCAAATTTCAAAGGTCGACTGTGAAGACGGGTCCGAACAAAGTGAAGGAAAGTTTGCAGCCGTTGAAGGAGGATGCAGTGTTGGATGAGTGCTTGAGGAAAAAGTGCGTCGGTGACCTGCTGACGACGACCACGACTACGCTGGTGACGGTGTCGCAAACATCGGTCACGTGCTGCAATGAGTAAGTTTATATTTATTTTGTATTTTATTTTCTTCATTTATCTCATGTAATTTTAGGACTTTGGTGTGTTTCGTCATCTTCGCTAAAGTTTATCTTAATTTTCGATCAACAATACCTTTTAACTTATATTTATGGTAACAATTATCATTAGTAAGATAATAATCAACGTATGATTATTCTGAAATCTAAGATACGACTGCTGGTAAAACTACATTTTGTAGGATGAGCACTTTCCTTGTGACATCCGTTTTGCCAATTGATATATTTACTATCTTATATTTCATTTCAACCGAGTCGCCATCTTTCTCTCGAACCATAAGTCAATCGTTTACTTATTGTATGGCGATTCTCGAAAGTGCCCTGGCACATTTGCCAACCGCGCATGTCCCGCGTACAGCGGTAAAATCGACCATTGTTACAGACAGGCGCAGACGCAATACCACGCTACATGGAATTTCACAATACCACAAGCTGTTGGTGCAAGCAAAAAGACCAAGCGATTTTGGAAAAACGCTGGTTTTATCAAGATTTTATCTCACTTACTGACTGTTTTATCCGTTTTAGCTAAATGTTGAGTCGCATCATCAGACCTGAAACATAGAATTATAGTTGTATCATTTTTAAAGTGAAACATATTTTTTTTTCGTACGTCTTTAGTTTTTTCGATTTAAGAATTTCAAAAAGAACTTTCATCATTGTTTAAATTTTTACTACTTATATGGAATTTCGTTAGAAAACAACTTTGCCGATTCCAAGATTGAAGTTATATACAAAAAACTTATTGTTTCCTAAAGACTTCCTGAAAACTGAACCATAGGAAAGATGGGCGGTAAATTCATTATCTCGATTTCAGATGTGTTTTTGAGTAAGTTTGCACGTTAAATAAGGTAAATATATTCCAAGCGTCAATTTATGAAAGATATGACAAGTATGTTTGCATTCACTTATTCCTGTGCCCCAGCAGTTGATACAATAACAGATAATGATGTTTACGTTGAGTGCCGCGAGTATGACGCAAAGACACATAAAAAATTACCCAAAAACTAAACAATAGACTGTTTATTTGGACCACATCAATAACACACGATGTGCAAGATGTTGCAGTTATTATTTGTATTTAATGTTCATTATGCTCAATTTATTTTTATTGATCGCAAGCGCGTTCGCTGTGTCGGTAGCCTTACTCTCATTGTTAGTATTACTGGCAATTTCAAGAGGTCTTTATAAATATATCACTGAATTCACAACGAACCATATTGGAGAGACTAAGTTTCAAAAATATATTTAATTTTGAACGTCAGTAATATAAAAAACCTTTGTTTTGCCACCAAACTATGATCGCATACAAATATTAAAGCTTACAAATAGAAAATAAAATATTACAAGCATGTAACTTGAAATAACGCACTGGTTTTCAGTCTCAACCTTGTCTCTATGATGTTATATGGGTCACAGCTATAGACAAGCGGGGAGAGTCTCTGGCTATTAGCCCTGACATCGCCAAAGCTTTTGACAGGGTGTGGCACAAAAGCCTTCTCTCCAAGCTTCCTGCATACGGTCTACCTGCTCAGCTCTGCGCCTGGATAGCTGTCTTCCTGCATGAGCGTAGAATTCGCGTCCTTACGGATGGATGTAGTTCGCAGTTCATGTCAGTGAATGCCGGTATTCTTCAGGGCGCCGTTCTATCCCCCACACTCTTTCTGCTCCATGAAAAAAATACTGTAATTATCCATAATGGAATTTAAGCAAAAGCGCATTTCGTAAGCCATATCATAGTGTAGATTATTAGCTGAGCAGACCGAGCCAAAGACTTCACGTATGGTCTTATTATATCAATAAGCATTTGTGAATTTACGAACTGATATTTTTTCATAATAAAAAGAAGTTTACCTAGATAAACTTTGTCTAGACACAAAAATACCTAAGTGCTAGGTAAATTTTCTGTTAATGTAAAAAGTTTGCCATCATTAACATTAAAAATCTAGACACATTTAAAGGTGACACTTCTATACTGAATGCCTAACACATTAAGTACTGATTCAATATAGGTATCGCATTCTTTTAAATTTGGTACCTACTACATACTCGCAGCAAAGCCATATAAATATTTACCTCATCCATAGCCATTACGATGCACCAGCCTTCGTGCCTTACCATAGACACGGCTCCCCGCTGTTAGTGAAAGTTGGCCATCGAGAATGAACCATTCATATTTACATGCCTATAAACAATGTTTATTCGGAATTAATAAAAGATAAATTACGAAAAATCCAATAATTTCGTGATAAATATATTTTGTGGCCGAAGCGACAGTGCGATGGCTCATAAAAATATTAAAATGTCACTATAAAGTAATATTACATATTGATACTTTTCCATGCTTCCATTTTTACATGTAACATATTATACGTCCAGCTTGTGAAACTTCAGTGAATTTAGATAATTTTTCTTCATGTACGTTTATTTAGATTTCTACATCATATTCCCACAAGAGAAGAAAAGCTAGCTGAACTTTGTGTAAATCTTAAAGCTCCCAAAAGTTTATTTTCACAAAAACCTCAAAAATAAATCCATGATGAGCACACATATGAAGTGAAACTTCTTTTCTTAAAAATAACATAACATTAGGCGGTGCATAAGGCATAGGGGAGCAGCGCATGCATCACACATAAATGTATATATATATATATATATATATCATCGCGTGTGACGCCCATGACGCGCGTAGCGTTTCGGCCTTCGCCGAGTTACCCTCCAACTATCATGCTCGTCGGAAAGAGCTGCGCACGCATCCCACACACACACACACACACTCACACACACACAAACACACACAGATATATAAATAAATAAATAAATATTTCCAACACTCACACCAATTAGCCTAGCCCCAAAGTAAGCACTGTAAAGGCTTGTGTTATGGGATACTAGGGTAACGGATAGAATACATATATTGTACATATATAAGTATGTTTATATGAAATACATATTAAACATCCATGACTGGAGTACAAATGCTCGTATTCATCACACAAACATCTGCCCCCACCGGGATTCGAACCCGGGACCTCTCGAGTCGGCGACGCCATGAAACCCGGCGTATAAACCACTCGGCCACGGAGTCGTCATATATAGTCATGTGACGCTTGCGACGCATTTCTGTTTCATTTTATCCATAGGAGTTTCACTTAAAAAAGTCCTTCCTCGGCTGAGAATGGAATCCCGCGCCGCCCGAGAAGCAAGTGAGGTTTCTATCACTAGTGTTTGTTTTTAATAAATGTAACTCGACATGCTAAAAGATATATATTTTGCCCAGCGCATAAGCCTCGCCATTCAGCGGGGAAATGCCGCCAGCGTCCTGGGAACCTTTGCCGACGGGGACGATCTAGGGCAGCTTAATTTTTAATATTTGTATAGTTTTTAGTGTAGTTTTAGTTTAATATTTGCCATGTTACTTATTTTTACTATCCCTTTATATGTATAATAATTATATAGTGCTAAAAGATGAACACAAAATTTTATAGATATTTCGTAAGAGCTCAATTTTACAAAATAGCTGAATCGTGTGTTAATATGAAATGTGCTGTATATCCCTTTTCGTTTTAATCTAAGAGTATATTGCGATAATGAGCGAACCATTCCAGTTTACGTAGGTCGCAGTGGTAAACCGTAAGATTACTATTCACGCATATTTCAAATATCCTACGAGTTTCTAATGCGCTCCGTTGTGTGAACCGGAACGCAAGAATGGCGGCAACGCGACAACGCGACGGCGGGCATGCTGCGTTTGTCATTCAGAAAATAAAATAACCATAATTATGAAGTGTCTAGGGAAGACTTTGTCAATTTTAACACAAGACCTCCTTAGCTTTCTAACAAATACTCTTTGTATTTTACGCGCTAACCACTTGCGCCATCGAGCTCCTCTAATTTTTTACACAATAATCGTTAAATATGAATTTTAACCCAATAACAGAAAGGGTTTTAAGAGTTACAATAATTAACAACAAAATTATATTCGCCTTTCCGTGGGAATGATGGAAGATAATTAATTCTCAACATTTGGAAGTTCCTGTTATCTTTGATGTCCATTAGTGCTTCATTAGGGTTCCGTATCGAAAGACGAAAACAAAGAAAGGCTCTTATTTCATTAAAGTACTACTAGCAAACCAGTGAACCAAATGTTCACCAAAAAAAAAATGTATTTAATTAATTGAGAACTTCAGAGATTTTGTGTAGTTTCGTTTGAAATAGAAATCACGTGATTTCTCGAAAACCGGAAGTGCTACGTTACTCATATCCGGTTTGTAGTCTTATCAGACTATTCTCAACTTATAACTTAAACATTCTCTTTATCTATCTCTTACGGTTTGGCCGCTGAAACAGCACCACGGACGGACGGACGGACTTGTCTATTAGATAAGAGATAAGTATCGAGTCAGCTGAAATAATTAGGTCGTCGTCAAATATTGAAAATCATTAAGCATAACTTGGTCTCTATAATTAATAAGTTTAAAAAAATAAGATTTCCTTTGTACTACAGGCACTAGATAAAGTAACAATATACCTTATATACAAATAAACATTGAGAAGCTCGGTGGTGCGGGTGGTAAGCGCGTTTTGCTGCGATCGTTGAAGTTAAGCAACTTTCGCAGTGGTCGGTCATTGGATGGGTGACCAAAAATCTTCAATCTCGAGTTCCTCCGTGCTTCGGAAGGCACGTTAAGACGTCGGTCCCGGCTGCATCTGCAGTCGATAGCACCCGCCAATCCGCACTCGGCCCGCGTGGTGGAGCATGGCCCAATCTCCCTATTCCATCCATAGGGAAGGCCTGTGCCCCAGCAGTGGGGACATTAATAGGCTGATGATGATCATTTACAGTAGTAAGGAAAATGCATATGATAATCAAACGTGCACCACCGGGATTCGAACACGTAACCACTGGATTTAACAGTTAAGATCACAGCTCTAATGCGATTCAAATAAGAATAGGAAAACCA